GTCCTGCTCTATCTTGAGCCAATTTCATTGTCTCTAACACACCCGCATTACTGCAGTGACTGAGTCCATCCATCTCATGCAGGGTCTTCCTCTCTTGCGCTGCTACCATCAAGTCACCTGCAACATGTAATGATCCAAGGAACAACCTATCTGAACTTGCCCCATCCTGCACCATCCTCGCAATCTCCACCATGCTTGGACCCATTGTTACAGTCTCTGTGGCAATCCATTTTGTTGAGAGTCTTCTTCTCTTTTGATGATGCACCACATCACAGGATAAAGTCCTTGTCCAAGTACTGGCTCCTCCTAACATGCTAAAAGTGTGTAAGATGGAATGTCACCGTCCTTGTCTCAAAGGAGCACTCTGGTTGCACTCCCACCAAGACAGACTTCTTGTTCTTCTAGCGGTCCATGGAATATTCAGTACTGTTCTCCAACAACATAACTCAAAGACAGATTCTTCTGTCATCCTTGTTCATTGGCCAGCTTTATTTTTTAAAATTTGTTTGCATATAGTAATTCTTAAAACAGTTTCACTCATGTACTTTATGTTTTATACAATCTTTCATTTACATTGTTTCATACAATCATTCCTATGCATTGAATTTTAAATCATGAACTATTGACTTAATGCCTATTATTACCTCATCTTTCCAAGTCTCTATTGAATCTTCCCTATTCTTCCAGCCTCCCCCCAATCCAACCACTAAAGTCTATTATTGTAGTGACTTCCAGCCTCCCCCCTTTTCCACACATTTTCCCCTGTCTCATTCTCCTTTTGAACATCTATACATGTCTTAGTGATCCTTCTATTTTTGCAGTGATGGTCTTATGCAATATTTGTCCTTATGATACTGAGTTAATTCACTCAGTATAATGCTCTCTAGACTCTCTCGTGTTACCTATTATTTTAAGAAATTATTGTTCCTAAGTGCTACGTAGTATTCCACTGTGTGAATGTACCACAATTTTGCAATCCATTCATTTCTTGATGGGTATTTGGACTGTTTCCTTTTTCTTGCTATTGTGAATAATAATATTATGAGCATAACTGTACAAATCTCTATTTGTGTCTCAGTTCTAATTTCCTTGGGATATATTACTATCATAGAATAGCTGTGTCATATGGAATTTCTATGGTCAGCTTTTTAAAGATATGCTAAATTGTCTTCCAGAATGGCTGTACCATTTTACAATTCCATCAGCAGTGCATGAGAGTTCCAATCTCTCTACATCCTCTCCAACATTTATTATATAATGTCCTGTGAAACTTTGCTGCTCCTTGGCCAACTTTCAGATGCATAAGAACCAGTAGGAAGTACCATGGCTTGAACCAGGTGCACCTCAATCATTAAACTGCTGTCATTGCTCTTTAACCCTTTAGAAAGATCCTTGACTGCAGATTTTCCTAAGACAATATACCTTTTAATTTCTTGAGTGCTGTCACCCTGGGTTTTGAGTGCAAATTTTCCCAAAGCAATATGTCTTTTGATTTCTTGCCTACTTTTACCCTGGGTGTCATGAGGATTTTTATTCTCTCAGTGTTAAGATTTTTATTCTCTTGGTGTTAAGATGTAACCTGTATTGAAGTTTGCAGTATTTGATCTTCTAAAGAAAGTGTTACAAATCCTCTTCACTTTCAGCAAGTAAAGTTGTGTCATCTACATCATGTTGATGAGTCTTCCTTTGATCCTCACGCCACACTGTTCTTCAGATTGATTGCAGACTGTACAATGCAACAATCTCCTAATTTCCTGCATGTGTTTGCTACTTCCATTCATCTTCCTTCCCTATCCATACCTACATTCTGAGCTTTATCCCTGGGCAAATGCTGTCATTTTGATCACCCATGGTTGGCTGTTCTAAGGAGTGCCTACTTTCCCGATGTTATTGTTCACATTATAGGCCTGTGTATTGTTACACTGAAAGTTGAAACACAGGAGTGAATTCAGTTCCTGGCTTGAGAAGTGTCAACGACCATGAGCCCAAGGCTGTATTTCATTGGGTCTCTCACTTACTCTACCCTCTCCTCCCTTTCTCTAGGACCTGCCCTCACCAAACCTCCAGGCATTGCCTATTCTTTCTGCCTCAGGGACTTTGCACACACTGCAAGCATATCAGAGATGGAGAGAATGGCTCAGGATGGTGCAAGGATCCAACCTTTTGTTCATAGGATTACTCTGAGTTGTAGTTGACTCAGTGGCACCTGAGAGCAATGACAGCAGTTCCATCTGTCTAAGATGCCTTTCCCTCCCAGCTGTCCTTTCCCTTCCTTTTTTTTTTTTTTTTAGTTTAGTATCTCTGGCTGCTCCATCTCCTCAACAGGATTGGATGCATCATTATGCCCCAGTTATATGCACACAGCCTAGAACATTGTGTCACAGACAAGAACCTATATAAATCCAATCTCAAAAATGTGAAAATTAATCAAATCCTCACTTTTAACGTTTCCATCAGGAGGGTGGCATTTTCTCTTTCTGATGCTAGTCATCTGGAATTTGACTAGATTACTCAAGATTAAAGATACAAGCTTAAATATCCACCTGACACCCTTATTTCCCTCTGTTGGATGTAAATTTGCACTTTTCCTACTATTCCTTCAAGTTGTCAGCCATAAACTCATGACCAACTCTGGGCTTCCATACTTTACTTGCTGGTTTCCACTACTCCTTCAGGTTCCGTAATCCACTGAGACAACCCAGAGAACTCATAGAAATGTTGTACAGATGATTATAGACTTACTGTAGCAAAAAAGGTACAAATTAAAATAAACAAAGAGAAGAGTATATTGTTCTCCCACATTAATCATCGCCTTTCACCAACCAGGAAGCTCTTGGAACTTATGTGTCCCAAGCCTTAATTGGCCCCATTGCATAGTCCTGACCAGGGTCTATTGCATATGCATGATTGAGTCATGCTCCCCTCTCTCCTTGAGGTCAGCTGATAATGGCCAGCCCCCAGCTTATCAGCAGGAATCCTGCATGTATTCTTTATGTTTAAATAAGCACAAACAAGCTAACAAACCTACTACCATCAAATCAATTCCAACTCATGGAGACACCATGTATAAAATTATAATGGTTCCATAGTATTTTCCTGGATATAATCTTTACAGAAATGGTCTTTTCTCTTTTGGCACTACTAGAGAGGTTCAGAGTATCAACATTTAAGCTAGTAGTAGAGTGTAATATTTCTCTCTCATCACTGTCAAGCTGGAACCAACTTATTTCTGACCCTCCAGTGGGTTTTTGGAAACTGTAAATCACACAGTAAGAGATTCAAACAACCAGAGAGGTGCTGCATTTTGTTTACCAGTGCAAATCTCTGTGAACTACACCATCAAATCTCCATCATTGCACCTCAGTTACCCAGAAAATTCCAGAGATTATCTTTCAGAAACAAGGGAAAAGGCCAAATTGTCATTGATTAGGTGACTCATAGCATTATAATAGTAGATACTCAATAGCTGTTTATTAGAAGGATGAACGGATGACCACACAGTTCAAAGTTAAACTTCCATATGCCATGGCACTGGTATGCCTCAGAGATATGTTCCAGTTTAGTTGTGAACCACTACCATAAAGCATTGAAGGCAGTCACACAGGTTTTTTGTTTGTTTCACCACAGCCTGTAAAAGTTATAGTTACACTGTGGTATAGTTTCTAAACTCTATTCAGAAAATTTGAAATATTTTGAGAATTACCAAAATATGACTCAGAGACACAAAGTAAGAAAAAAGATTGGCATCTCTGGCAGTTCGAATTTACCAGTAACAGAGAAAGATGAGCAGCCACCTCGTGTTAAAATTGATAGCCACAGAAACTTGGTGGTGGGTCGTTTTGAATTGGAATTGACTTGATGGCACAGAGTTTGAGTTTGAAAAATACACTGCAATCCCAGAGGAACACGGTTCGAATCCACCAGACGCTCTGTCGGAGAAGGAGGCGCAATATCCTCCTGTACCAGTCAGATCTGATTTGACGGTACACGCACACACATACACACACACACACAAAAAAAAGAAAAATTAAAAAAAAAAGAAAAATAGTGTTGATAGACTTGACACCGGATTACTATAGACCGTCACTGTGTAAAAAACCAGTAACGGCAAAACCCACGCAATATCAGTGAAACACAATAAAGTGAAGTGCAATGAAAGGAGGAATGCCTATACACTGCCTTATATTGTTTGTTCTTACCTAATTTCACCAATTAGTTTCAAAACTCTGCTGTCTGGCAGCACTGCGTCTGTTTTCTTATCCCCCACAGGGCTCAGCTGTAGTTAGTCTGTTCAGGGAAGGCCACTGACTTACTATTGGTTATAAGCATTTTACTGATTCAACCTTCTGCCATTCCAGTCATGGTAACTAAGAGAGAAATTAAATAATACAGCATGTGCATTTAATGATTATAGGCACTCACCATTATTATGAACGTAAGTAATAGAGGCCAGACATATTCTTTCTTAAGAAAGTTTTGCCGAAAAATAAAAAAATTCAACTATGCTATAAATAGCTCCCTCACAATCTTACTTTACGGATTTTGGAACAGCCTTGATGCAAGACTAAGAAGGACTGGTGTGTTCATTTCACTCCAGTGTGAGTGCACGATCCTTGCTGCATGTATATAAATGAGCACCATCCCATCTGTTGTAGTAACAACTGTTAGAGTTTGTCTGGCAATAGGAATCAATTTGCCATCATTCTTCCCTATAATGTGACTTGTCCTTAGCTCCTTGTTAGCAGTGGTATTTGTACGGTAGACATGCAGTGTCAGAAATCTTAGCGGAACAGTAAAGGACAATATATTGTTTGCAGAAACCTTCATAACTTTGATCCACTGGGTCGTTCGGTTTTCTATAACCAGCCCTTCCAATGGCCTCCCCCCACCCCCTAGCCACATCGTTCTTCCTGACTAGCAGATCTTGATGACATTGAAAATAATTTCAGTATAACGAGTAACTGTCTATTTTCCTGCTTTCTTTAAAATGCCTTTTGCAGACAAGAAGCCCTAAGCTGTCTCACAGTCCACAACCTCTGAGTTTGAGTGACCCAGCAGAGCATTTATCAGAGGCGTCCGGCGATTCCCTGGAAGCCATGTCTGAGGGAGAGTCTCCAAGTCCTTTCTCCAGAGGCAGCCGGACTCGCGCAAGCCTTCCAGTCGTGAGATCCACCAACCAGACGAAAGAAAGATCTCTGGGTGAGCTCACTTCTGGTGCCTCTTCAATACTGCTTGTGCATATTTTTATACTCTGAACCTCTATTTCCAAATGCTAATTTTATTTTTGTTAAGGGAAAAAAAGACTAGAACATTTCATGGCTTTAATATTAAGGTGTGGCAGGCTTGTCTGTTGAGGGATTAACGCAAGTCAAAGTTATCTTTGAGGCAGAGGGAGCTCAGAACAGGATAAGATTGAAAGCCTGAGCTGAGGCTGGGTCAACCAGTTGCTGTTGAGTCTCTCAACTTACATTGAACTGTGTTTCATACTAGATCCTTCTTTCAAAGTACCTCCGGGGGAGATCTGGTGGCCTAGTGGCAAGAAGCTGCACTGCAATCCCAGAGGAACGTGGTTCGAATCCACCAGATGCTCTGCCGGAGAAGGAGGCGCAATATCCTCCTGTACCAGTCAGATCTGATTTGACGGTACACGCACACAAAATAATAATAAAAAAAAAAAAACAAAGTACCTCCGGGTGGACTTGAAACTCCAAAGTGGGGGTTATTATCTGAGCTCCTTAGCCATTTGCACCTGGCTGAGGCTTACCCAACTAAATCAAACTCTTGTGCTTTTTAAACTACATTGTTGCTTAAGAGCAGGGGTCCTGGAGTGGAATATTTTTCTTTGTGCTCAGTTGGAAATGAGCTAGGTTCTGGTCCTTTTGGAGATAGCCTCTGATTTGCAAAATCAAATGAAGATAAACAAATGCTTTGCCCTTCCCATCCCCCCTACCTAGGGAACATTGAATTGAGCCTGTGGATAATAGAGCCTTTGTCTTGAAGGCAGGAATTTCCCCCATCCCACAAAAGCATTTGGCTTTGCAAGTAGATGCTTGCTGGATTGGGGAACTGAGCCTCAGGACAGAGCGGCAGCGGGATGAGGTGGCAGCCTTGCTCACGTGCCCAGCTCTAGAAGCACACCTTGCTTTGAGAGCTCAGCACGTTAAAAAAAATTTTTTTTTCTGAGAGCTGTTTATTCTTCCAGCTCTGCAAGGGGAATTTCGGCCCATAACTTTTTACAAATTCTGCCTAGACACAAAGGAGCACTATGAGAGAGGAATCAGAAGCGTGCCAAAGCCAAGGAGCTGTGGTCCTACAGCATGAGGCTCTGGGCCAGACCAGTGGGGTGGGCGCTGCCCTTGACCGCCTCTTTTTAGCTGATTTGAAAGTGTCGACCCAGCTGCACCTGGGCCTCATGGTGTAATTCAGTTGACCTGAAGTGATGAAGAAACAGGAAAGTGTGAGTCATGGAGAATCTAAATGCAGTCTTCCTTCTACTCCAGGGAGGGAGGGTCTTGCTCAGCCTTGCTTTTGGAAAACCCCCTTGGGCAGGCTTTACTTAAGCTGCAGAGACCTGGCTTTGGGCTCCTTCCCCAGAGATCAGAGCGTCACTGCACAGGGGTGTCCAGGACACCCTGCAGAGCAAGGCCAGGCAGTGCAGCTGTGACCCCACGGTGACCAGAGACTCTGCCCTGTCACCTCTTGGGAGCCTGATGCCATTTAGAAGCCTTCCTTTATTTTGAAATCTGTACATTACTATGTTAATCTTGATCCATACAATTTTAATAAGCTCTCCCACAAAGCTATGTTGATTCTGCCCTTACATAACATTTTGATGCCAGATATTTTATTATTATTTTAATTATGAAAATAACGCATTGAGATATTCTTTATCCTGATGGCTCAAGTTCTGGTTCTCACTTTTTTTTTTTTTTACACGTGAGGTGAGTGGCTCACTTGCCTCATCCCAGTGTCTACCCTACCAATCCCCCAGGGGCCTTAGATATCAAGGCTGTAGTCTCCACCGAAAGAACTCCAGTGGCCAGGACTGGAAGCCTGACTTCCACACATGAGCATTTTGTCACACTAGATCCTCTCTGCTCAAACAGGACAGGACAGATGGGGGGTCCTGTGGGTACAACCCTCACTGGAAAGAGGCCACTATTCCTTCCATGGAATGGATGAAAACTATTCCTCTCTTTAGGCAGCCTGTGTCTAGAGATAAACTTGCCCACTTAATAATTCTTCCACTTGCATAATTCATCACTTGGACGTACTTAGGAATTTTGAGGGATAAAGGGAGACTGAGAACAGTACATGTAGCAAAGGCTTTTAGAAGGCACAGAAAGAGAAAACTGAGGGAAGTTAAGCCCTTGTGTAAGTAGTGGTCTTTCCTTACCATACTAGGGTTCAAAATATGAGCTTATTATTTGGGTTCACAACACAATGTGCTATGAATCCAGTCATCAAAACTCTCCATTGAGCTTATCATTTGGGAAAGGGTCACATGACAGCAAACGTAAGTCCTTTCTGATGTTAATGGCTATCTGGCCTTTTTGGGGGATTAGCCAAGCTCAGAACTCTGATTTATACTATTTCCAGATTCCATTGATCTACCATCTCAAAAGTTTTATCTCCAGATTAGTGGTTTTCCTTCCCTCTCCCCCTATCTTGAGTCAACTGAAATTCTCCCCAGTCTCTCCATGTCTCCTTCATGCTATCATCCGTGCAAACTAAGAACATCAGGGGGAGGGGGAAGAAAAAAAGAACAAAAGCTTGAAAATGTCTTTCCAGTACAGTTTGGTTTCAGAAATAATATCCATGAAAAATTGTCCCGTTGATATTAGGTCTGGAGTCTTAATGATGGAGTAGTTTCCTTTTAATCATGGTGCTGTCTTGTAAATGCCTGTCTGGAATGTGACCATAGGCAGGGGCTGATGTCTGGCCACTCCAGAGCCAGCCTTCGGGGAAAGGGTAGCCACAAGAAGTTCCCACCCTTCTCTGAACCCTCAGGAATTTGAAAATAAAGCTCATGTGAAAACAATAACAATGGCAGCAACTTCCTTCAGGGTACAGCCACATTTCTTTAGTCAACAAACTCTGAATGGTTAAAGTTAGACACTTCAGCCATCATCCAGGCACTAACCATTTCATTAACAAACTTCCTCTTAGATGCTCAAAGTCCCATGGAGCTAGCAAACATGGTGTGGGACGGTTTTAGATGAGCTAGAGAAGAATCTCTCCAACTTTATGACTTTAGATTCTATGTGCAACTTGGTACCAATCATTCCCTGCAGGACGTTTTAAGGAAAATAAAGTTTGTGGATGCTAGAATCTGCCACTTGTGGCTGCGTAGGCAGTTAGAGCACAGATTTAGATGTTCACCCATAAGTGGGAAAGCCAGAAAACTTTGAAGGCTATGGTGAGAGTCCTTGCATATTAAACAAATAAAATTCAGGTACATGAAAACAAGTATATCTTCTCATTTACCTGATATTTGCCATTGTCTGATATTTTCCATCTCATCAGATAGTTTCCATTTATGACAAAAGTAAAAAAAAAAACCAAACAAAACCATATACTGTCTATTTTATGCATTAATGACACACATATTTCAGTAATAATTGCAGAGGGATGAGGCAGAGTAGGCCTGACTGATAGTTAAGGTTAAATGGTTACTTGGCTGGCTCATGATTGCCTTTCATTTGGGAGTTGTGTAATGATGTAGTCACTCTGCATTTTGTGATCTGACATAGTTGTCTTCCTTTTTTTTTTTTTTTTTGCATAACACCAATTTATATATTTATATTTATATCCAACAACCTAGTCTTTACAACATAATCATGTGGATAAGTGAAGAATGAGTATATTGGTCTGAAGAATAAAGAAAACATGGACACAATTTCTTTTCCTTTGTAATTACTGGTAGGGATAAAACATGTACTATTGCAAAACCAAGATTTTATAGGAAAGAGTTTGGGAGTAAATAGATTTGAGGAATATCTTGAGTTTGGTGGGTTTTTTGGTGTATTTTATTTTTTGTCAGTTTCTATAAAATAGAAGTTAGAAAATGTTCTCTAGCATTAAAAGCAGTGTTTGACCTACATGGACTGTGGTTGGGTGCCTATGGTGAATGGGCTGGCGTCATTCACCCTGATACCCCACCACCCTCCTTTACCTTGAGTCTTTATTTACTACTAGGGCTGGAAAGTAATCATCATGGATTGTCAACTATTCCAAGTTCTGGAAGGTGGAAAGCAAGGTCATTGTGCAAGTTATCAGTCTTTCTTTAGCATGATTTGCCAAGGATCCTAAGTGTTGCTAGAATTAAGAGTTGTGGTACAGGACATTCTATTAATCAGATTTTAGGGTTCCCCAACAATCTTGGAAGCTTCCTGATCAGGGTCACATTGGTGTGGGGTTAGCAGCTGTGCACAGATTTGCCCAGTGTCGCAAAAAGCTGCTTCATGCTTGGATGGTCCTGTGGTAGCCTAGCTCTCCAGTGAAAGTTTAGTCCAATGATTCTGTAAACTATTTAACAAACCATTTTCTTAAAACTTTTTTTTTTGTGGTTTGGGCAAAAATTTTCAGAGCAAATTAGTTTTCCATTCCACAATTTATATGAATTTTGTTTTGTGACATTGATTGCAGTTGCCACAATATATCAACACTCTTGTTTCCTCCCTGTGGTCCATTTCCATTCATTATTTCCTGGCTTGTCTTGTAGTCTGGACATTATTTTTTTGGTGAATAATGCCCCTTTAATATTCTGTGGTGTGTTGTTTGGAAAAAAAAATGTGTTCCTTTCAGGTATTATTTTTCTTCAAATTATGAACCTACCTACTGCCAGGTTATAAGTTGAACCACGGGAAGAAGTTTAGTTTTAAACTTGAAGGAGGTCTAAAAGTCATAATCTTGGAGGTTCCACTAATCTCTATCATACCAATATTGTAAGTTTGAGAGGATTTTTAGTGATTTCAAGGTTTTATTCCACCTTTTCTCCTATCTCAGACCCTTCTAGTGTGATTAGAACAGTCAGTAGTGGTAGTTGGACACCCATCTTGTTGTCTTAGAGTAGTGGAGGCTGAGGTTCACATGGTCCATTAGCACTTGTATTTGTTGTTACATGTTGTTAAGTACAACTCATAGCGACCCTGGGAACAACAGTTCTGAACCCAGTCCTGTCCTGTGCCATCTTCATC